TTGGATGCTGTCCCAGGCTGTTTTTACTCTGGTTTACAGTGGGTGCTTGTGGCTTCCTGCTTTCTCACCTGAAGTCTGGAATCTCAGCAGTCCACATAGAGAGGGATGTCCACCAGTTCAGAGGAACCCTGAACTGTAGTGTTTGCTGCCTTTTCAAAAAAATCAGCTTTGTTGAGGTATAATTTCCAGATTTTAAGAGTACAGTTCAATGAGTTTTGACAATTGTATGCATACACCTGAGTGCCCAACACTCCAATCAAAATACAGAACATTTCTACCCTTAGAAACTTCCCTCATGACTCTGCAGTAAATCCCCCTCCCAACCCATCCCTGATAAGTTTGTTTCTTTTTATTGCCAAGTAATATTTCATTGTATGTATATACCACAATCTGCTTATTTATTCTCCTGTTGTTGGACACAAGCGCTGTTATAAATAGAACAGGCTATGACCATTCTTATACAAGTCTTTTACGAATATGTTTTCNTACTGTAGTGTTACACTTACTAGCCTAGTCAGTATGAAGGTGAGACTTGAGGCTGTCACTGCAAACCTAGTTAGTAAAGGTTTAATCAGCTACAGGGCAGAGAGGTTTTTTCAACCCAGATTGTATGAAACCCCCTACACTATTCTTTTCCCTCCTCAACCAAAAACCCACCTGTCCCTCCTGCCAAGACAGTAAGGAGAGAGCATGCAAGTAAGTACCTGGAGTCCTCATGAAAGGCAGAGATGAAGTCCGATTGGGCATACTCTGGGTACAGAAAGAGAACAGGCCAGTTCAGCCTGCCCTGGTCATCTACACTCAGCTTGGCTGCATAGGGGTTCTCAGAGCTGAGTCCATCCAGGAAAAGCGCACCTAGACCCTCTGAGGCTGAGCCTCCATCCTCACCAGCAGCTTCAGAGACAAGCTTGATGTTCCTAGCCTGGGTTAAAGACAAAAATGCACACACATCTTATTGTGTGGGAGGCTGTGAACCCATTTCACTAAAATAAGGAAACCATAACAATGCAAGCTTCCTGAGGGCCAGCTCTACACGATTCACCTTCATTATCCCTGAGGCATGGCACATAGTAGGCATCACTTGTTTAACTCATCTTCACTGGGCATCTACCATGTGCTGGACCCTGTGTCATAGAGATGAGCTAGACATGTTTCCCACCCTCAAGCCTCTGCTCACAGTATAGTGGGGAGACAGCTATGAAAATAATTACAGCATAAGGTAAGAAGTGAAAACT